GGATATATCGTATCGTGACCCCTCTGTCATGATATGTATCGTATCGCCAAATTCTTGCCAATACACAGCCTTATTGCCTGACATAGATGGTCTTGTGTTGACAAATGATGTGTTGCACACACACTAAGTTCCCTGCAGCCTGAACCATCAGGTAAAGCTGTGTTGCAGACTCATCGCAAGTTCAAGCTGTTTTCATGAGTTCTCAGTTGCAGCGGGAGCCTCTCGGGCCTATACCCTCTGTTACCTTGCCCTTGGCGTGCAGCTGATGGTGGGGATGGACGCTCCGGGCACTGATCATAGCCAGCTGTCTTTGGATCCACTGCAGCTCCATCTGAGACTGTCTCAGCAGACCGTCCATGTTACTGCTGATGCTTTGACTCTTCATTATCATCTGTAAAATCAGACATTTTTACAGCACGACTCCACAATCTGAACTCATACAGTTCACCTCTGCAGCCTACAAAGATGTAAAAACATGTGTTTTAGTTATTCATGCAAGCTGGTGTTGCACATCGTTTTTAAAAACAGATTGTATTATTTTAATGATCTTCATATTGTGCAGCAATAATTGCATAGTAACTTCACAACCATAAGTTATAATTGTTCTGTATCAAAGTTCTACTGATGCAATATTATAAACCACCTCTTGGTGGCTAAAAGCTAAAAAATGGCAAAAAGCTACATAAAAGCTAAAAGCTGCACAAGAAGACAAATGACTGAGCAAATAAGTTGATGCCGTTTTCACAGAGAATTGTGTTTTGGGGGAAAAAATGGAGAAGATTGCAATAGTTTACCAAGGGTAAAATACTTGAAAATCTAAGTTAAACAATTTTAAAAGCATTTAAGTTGCAAAAACTAAAAGTTGCAGCACCCATCTCCTGCATACACTGAGTAATGACTAAAACAGCACAAACAAGAATAACTAAAAAAACAAGAAAACAATTATGCTGAATCAGCATTCAATTAATGCACTCATTGATAAGAAACACTGAAGAAAATCTAGATTTGTTCAGAAATTACTTATATGTGCAATGTTTCTAGATTAGATCATTTTAAACGCAGCCAAACAAAAACACTTACCTAGAAATAAAAAGTCCACAGCAAGAACTAATGAATCCAAACGAGCTGTTTGTATGTTTTTAATTCTTACATCATCTTTTCATCAAATGAATCATTCATCTTTCACAACTCGCTCGTTCCGGTAAATCAGTTCAGCTTCGTAATCAATCCCTAAATGTAAAATCACTCCCGGATCGAAGGGTAAATTGTTTTTGCAGTTAAACATTATTGCCCCCCCAGCAGCACTTTGTCAACATGTGTTTGTAAGTGCTGACCTGAGTGATTTATGTGTGCGACTGTGTTTGAAGAGAGAGCTGCACTCGCTTATGTAAGGGAGGGATTACTCGGCACAACGGCACTGTGACAGGGGAAGCATAAAAAAAGAGGAAAAATAAATAATTTTTTTTAAAAATCAGCAGCTTTCATCAGTGGGAGGCAAATCCCTGTCTGTACCTTTGTGCAAAAACCCACACAGGAAGTCCATGATTTATACGATTAGCACTTATAATCGGCACATTTCTCATTTTAGACCAATTATTTTTAGTAATAGAAAAACAGTAAAACAAAATCTTACCTGTTTAAAACTGAAGTTATCAAAATGATTTTATATTTTGTTGGCTGCTCACTTTCCTGGTCTTGAGCGAAGTCCATTACCCTGATTTAATAAGCAAAATCCATAAAACTGATGTTGGACTAAGGCGCCTCCATGATTTCAGATGTTCTACATTTTACAGAAGGTATTTCTGTCTGAGGACACATTTAGGTCCTACCTGCCTCTTAGGAGAAATATTATGATTCAGAATTTCCCTCATTGTGTTCTTGTCCTGAAGGCTGCCTGCTGGGTGACCATATGGTACACTTAAGAGAAATGTGAAGATGCGGAAAATAGCACGTTAGGGCCTCACCTGCACAAGAAAACAGCCTCAAAAAAACAAAACAAAAAAAAAATCAACTAAAACGTCACTGAGTCACCATCAGTTCAACTATTTTTAAATCCAATAACAGACTTGAGCTGAAAACATTTTCAGATTACATTTTAAGACGTCGAATATGAATAAAAACATTTAAAAAATAGATTTTTCAAATAAAAAGAGAGGTACGAAAAAAAACTTTCATGCAAATTTATTTTAAAAATGTTTTTACGATAGTTAGATGTGTTGATCCCACAAATCTCAAACCGCTGTAAAGGTTCATCTCAGATAAATATGTTTGGTGATAAAACAAGATCAGGAATGCATTCACTGCGTTATTTTATCCTTAAACTAAACAAAAGTGTTCTTTTAGCACATCTCCTCCTCCTTTCAGTAACTCTGTGGCTGTTTCAAACTCCAGAGGGACGTTCTTGATTTGACGCTTCAGGTCTCGGTCCATCAACTGCGGACAAAAGGAAAATGGGTTTTACTGTGATTTATAGACAAAAAGACACTTGATAATTATGACGCCAAGCGGGGGTCAAGTTGTTTTCATTGGTAAATAATTTTTTTAAGATTCTTGATCAACCGTAGCACAGAAACAGCTGCACCGATCAATGTGAAATTTGGTAAGACTGTAGTGGTGTCTGACCTAGGGGTGTAAGAAAATATCGATACACTGAAATATCGCRATATTTCATTTCCCGATACTGTACCGATATTCTAAAGCCCTGTATCGATTTTTAATTAAGGTTTAAAATGTCAACTTTCCTGCCAGCCGTTCATTTTCATGTTGTAGTTCAGCCTCTGACCACTAGTTGGCAGCAGTGAGCCAGCCATTTGGCTCCTCTACCTCTTGAGTGCCAGAGAGTAAGGGTAGCATTAGCATTGTAAGTAAACATTACCTTTTCTTTTTTTTTTCAGTAAGAGGTTTTTATTTAATAGAATTTTTGGAAAAAAATATTGCAATATATCGCCTTGCTTACAGTATCGCAATATATCAGGATATATTGTATCGTGACCCCTCTGTTATGATATGTATCGTATCGCCAAATTCTTGCCAATACACAGCCCTAGTCTGACCTACACTGAACCAGCCAACAGTTTTACCATAGACCCCATATTTGGGGAGGGGGCTGCACCTAAAATGGGGGTGTCTGAACATGAAAAAATGCTTATAAATCAAAAATTATTCAACATAGCTTCAGATTTTTGTAAWTTTTTTTTAGCACTGATGAAGGGCTATCCATCGAGTGTCCCCCCACCTCCAAAACAATAAATCCGTTCTGATGACGTCTGAGTTCTGATGCATTGGTGCTTTGCATATGTGTGAGGGTCATATATATGCTACTGCTATGCTGTTTCTAGTTAAACATTAATTTTAAAAAAGGTTCAAACTTTTGTCTCCATCTTCATTCAGCTTCAAATCAGGATATATTTACTGCACCTCTGAATAAAGACTCTATTTTGTTTTTTTATTAGTTTTTCTTTCATCTCATGCTGTAGTTCTCTTAAGTAATAATTAAAAAATAAAATAAAATAACATTATTCAATTAGTCTTGTGGCTAATTTAGCAAAACTCTATAGAAAATTCTACTTTTTATGGCATTTTGATGTTACCTCCCTCTTCAGTCAGAAGTTTTACCAGGTTATCCAATTATTCACTTTGACAATTCAGAGGGTTCCCACATGCTTTTTATTTCAAAATTCCAAACGTTGACTGTAAAACTCACTAAAAATGATAATAATAAAGAAATTGTTAAAAACCAGACAGTTTGACTGCATTTTGAATAAATTGCATAACTGTGTTCGTACACTTTTCCTGCTGCAAAGTTCAAGCATTTTCAAGGATTTCCAGCACCCGTATGAACCCTGTGATAATTAACTTTAATCTCAGAAACACTTTCAGCTTATAAAACAGGAAAAACATTTCAAACTTCAAAATAATGAGAAGAAAAAATAATTCCTTTGAGAGTCCAGTCACCTCATATGTAGTCATCTCCAGGACTTCGCTGATGTCATCTTCTTGCTCTGACAGAGGTGTGTTGATTAATGTCGCAGCTTTGGCCACATCTGGATGGAAATGTTTCTGCAGCGTCTGGAAGACGAGACGCAGGTTTCTCTTTTCTGCCCCTCAGACAAGAAGATTCAGCTGAYGCCGGTCGTTTCACACTCACCTTAATTTCCCACAGGCTGCTCTCTAAAGCCCGACACCGAGCGGGATCCTCCTCATCCGTGACGTACGGATCCTCGAGAGGCTCTGGAATATACAAGGAAACAACTGCGTTTAATTTAACCCAGCACACGCTGGGAACTGAACCGGCTGCAGATGTGGGGAAAAAGTCTCACCGTCTTCTGCGCTGGGTTTGTGGATGAGGACTCTGCAGGACGGGTGGCGACGGATCAGGTTGTAGATGAAGGGCAGGAGCATGAGAAGAGCTGTGGGTGGAGCTGTGAGGGCCAGGCGGGCCAGACGTTTGGCAAACGCAGCAACCAGGTAAAGTGGCAGGTGGCTGGAGGTGACCACAACGTATACAGTAAGCATCATGCTTTAACGGTCATAAACTGAAAAAAATAAAAACAAAAAAAGGAGGAAATCATCTTACCTGGAGCTGAGGAAGACGTTGGCTAGATGAAAAAAGCGCGCTCTGTATTTCACATGGAAAACAGACGGTTCGAAGAGATTATACAGCTTTTTGTAGAAATCAGGATAGTCTCTGTAAAAAAAAAGTTTAGGGATTATTCAGATATAAGTGAAGTAGATTTTATTTTCTTTGAACTTAACAGTTRCTGGTGCTACTAATTTACAGCCCTATGATTTCTGCGATACAGAAAACAGATGAAATTGTAGCATTTACCAAACAMACTGGAATCCAGTATAAAACACGGAATTCGCTCATTTAGGAGATTTAAGAGTTTCTGAGGYATGTTGRCCGCTGCCACTCCCTGTACCTGCCATTACCTSGTTACATGCATGTGGGGTGAGCTGTCCCTATCCACATAGAAAAATAAATGTTCAAAGTCAGCCGTAGAGAACGTGCTCGCTGAAACACCAACGACCTCCAAATTTAAAAAATGCAAAGCTCAGCGCAAAAGTTTAAAAGAAAGGAAAATGTGGTATTGGGGGGACAGAAAAAGCCAAACTT